TCCATACAATTTTTTAATCACCTTTTCCTCAGTACCTGTCAAAATCTTATCTAAGTCAGTCAGTTTATCATAGAAACCTTCTGTTTTAGAATCTTTATCATACCTTGAATGTATTTGCGCATATGAAAACCAATTCATCTTTATACCTTGTACCTTGTTCACCCTTTTCATTCAATATTTCACCATATCTAACTGTTTGTTCCTTTTTGTATATTATAGGATACGAAAATACTTCAATAGTCGATAACCAGACTGGAATTTTCAAATAACATTGTCTTTTAATCTTCTCCCAGTTTAACCACAGAGACTCCCGTATATAATGTCTTCTAAAATACCCCTGTGTTTTAGTTCCTTTATACCATAAAAAAGCATGCCACCGCAACAACAAATCATGTCCTTCTAATGTCAACAATCTAGCATTTCTTAGTGTTATCCATTCCTTAACCCACATCAGATTTGTAGCTTGGTAATACAACTCCCAATTAGGCAAACCAAATCCTCCTCTAATTCTAGCATCTTGCAAGAGTTTTAACTTTATTCTCGCTTTCTTACCTTGCCATATATACTTCAACACAATTTTATTTAAATCTTCAAAGTACTCTTTTCCAAGCCTAATTGGAATTGTTTGAAACAAATATAAAATTCTGGGTAATATATTCATCTTGATTGTTGAAATTCTCTCTATTAGTGACAATTGTAAATTTTCCCATTTCGCCAAATCTAGCGCTATCTGCTGTTTAAGTTTAATCTAATTATTCTCTTTTAATGTACTACATCTTGCTGTCAAATATATCCCCAAGTACTTAATCTTATTCATGACATGAATTTTCAATAGGTCTGCCAGTTCTTCCTTTTGTCTTAATAGCATATTCTTTGTCAAAATCTTTGTCTTTATTTATTTTCAAACCAGCCACCTTTCCATGTCTCTATCTTTTCTATCAATTTTGATGCTGTTTCTAAAGGGTCTTCTAAGATGAAAACCAGATCATCTGCAAATGCTTGCAAATTAAATTCTTCCTTTTTGATTTTCATTCCTTTTATATTCTTTTCATCTCTAATATTTCTGTTTAGCACTTCCAAAGTTAACACAAACAACAAAGGTGATAGTGGGCACTCTTGTCTTGTTCCTTTTCTTATATTGATAGAGTCTGTCAGTTCTCCCTCTATCTTTACCTCTGCCGTTTGCTTATAGTATATAGCTTCTATTGCTTGAATAAATTTTCTAGCAAAACCCATCTGTTCCAACAATAATAACATGAATTTCCAATTCACATTATCAAATGCCTTCTGTGCATCTAGAAATATCAGAGCCATTTGTTTTTCAGGATGTGCCTCGTAGTATTCCAAGGTGTCCATGATTACTCTCATATTGTCTTTAATTTGTCTCTTTGGCAGAAATCCATTTTGATCAGGATGGATAAAATTATTAAGTCTTTCTGCCAATATTGAAGCAAAGATTTTATAATCTGCATTTAGTAGAGAAATGGGTCTATAGTTCTTAATTTATAATGGGTCGGCCTCCTCTTTTGGAATAAATGTAATATAGGCTTCTGACCATGATTTAGGTATCTTCTTCTTTAACATAACTTCATTCATAACTTGTAGCAATGGAAGAGTCAACGATTCTTGTAATGTTTTATAAAATTCTGCCAGAAGTCCATCTGGGCCTGGTGCCTTTCCATTGTTTTGCTTCTTGAGTGCTTCGGTTAACTCCATCATCGTTATATTGCTTTCTAATGTTTTTTCAGTCTCTTTAAGTATCTGAGGTAAATTAGCATTCTGTAAGTACTGTTTAACTCTTTCCTCATCAATATTCTCTTCCATATATAATTTCCCATAGAAGTCTCGAATGATTTCCTTCTTCTCTTTGCTACCATGGCAAACTTGGCCTTGGTCATCTATTAATTGCAATATTTTCCTTGATTCTTTCTCCTTTCTCAATTTGTATGCTAACCATCTACCTGGTTTATTTGCGTCTTCAAAGTAGTTCTGTTTAACACCTCTAATTTTCTGTGCTAATTCTTCTTTTTCTATTTGACCCATTTTGTGTTTAACTATATCCATTTTTAGCTTGATGTCCTTTTTCTGTGGCATTTTCTGTTGCTCTTTTTCAAGTCTTTTATGCTCATCCTCTAGGGCCTTAGAGGCTAGTCTTTTCATAGTATTCCTTTTCCTTGTATAGTCTATTATCAAGTCTCTAACATATGCCTTCATTGTATACCATAGATTCTGAATTGATGTATCTTCTTTTTTGTTTTCTCTAAAGAAAAAAGCCAATTCTTTCTCCATCCACTGGGTGAAGTCTTTTCCTTTAAAATAGTATTATTTAACGTCCATCTAGATCTTCTTTTTTGTCCTTTCCATTTAATTGTCATTGGATTGTGATCTGCCCAAGTACTTGTTTCAATATTTATTTCTTGAATGTTAGTTATTAATTCTGTTGACATCCATATCATATCTATTCTGGACCATGATAAGTGTCTATTTGAATAGAAGGTGTATTGTTTAGTTTTAGCATTTCTTTCTCTCCATGTATCTTTTAAGTTTATTTCATCTACCATTTTAAAAAAAGATTTAGGGAGAGTCTTTCTGTTTTGCTTTATTATTTTCTGTGCTGTATAGTCCAATTTATTGTCTACAATTCCATTAAAATCTCCCATCATAACTATATTAGCATAGTCCAGTTCGATTATTTTCATATGTAATTTTTTGTAGAATTCTTCTTGTTTGTCATTCGGAGCATAGATTGCAATCGGGAGTGTTTTCATATTATTGTCCATTATTTCCACCATTAGTATTCTTCCATCATCATCGGTATAAATCAATTTTGCTGGGGTGGTCTCTTTAATATATAGAACCACTCCCCCTTTCTTACATTGTGTCAAGGAAGTAAATATTTTCCCTAATTTTGTTCATAAACAATATGTACTATTTCTATTTAGAACATTTGTATAGTCACCCATCTTCTGGACAACATGCAAAAGATGAAAAGCAAAAAACCATAACATAACATAACATGCAAAATAACCCACACCCACATCTAAACTATTCCATTTTCAAACCATAAAAACAAATTCACCACCAGGGCTGGTTCAAACTCCCAACCCAAATGCCTGAGGGAACTGCAGCTGAGCCTCGAAAGGGGCTGAAAGGGACCCCCAGAAAGGGGTCCATCCTTGTGCTCCTTGATCTCTTGGTGGCTCTTGAGCAGCGTATCCTTCTGAGCTAGGAACAACTTCCCACCCAAAAACACTTGTCCGTTTCTTTTTTGTATGCATAATGCATGCCAAGGGCCACAGAGAAAGTAGCCACTAAAAGGATGGCATCGCAAAGTGAATCAAACTTTTTTCTTTTTAATCCCTTGGAAATTTTAAGGCTTAAAAACCTACCAATGAAGGAGAATATTTGCAGTTTGAAATGAGGAGTCCTTGGTGCTCCCTGAGCTTGGTCGTTTTCTTGCAGACATTTCCTCAACCAAATTAGGTAATATCAGTGCTAGTAAGGAATGGGGTTTACTCTCAGTTTATATTCTAGTGGCTTGCCCTCTCAGTGTTGGTGGGGATGGTCTTGGAGAACCTTTGGTTGGACTGTTTACCGTTAGCTTGTTTGACAATTCCTTGACTGGGTATTGTTTCTCTCTTGATTGTTGGTCTGATGTAAATCTTGGTGTTAATCATCTGGGTGTTGATTTCTGGTCAGGGGTTGTTTTGTTCTTTTTGTTCCTTTTTGGCTTATCTTCTTTTGCACAGTATCTAGACATACATTTACATACTGTGCAAAAGAGATTATTAACAAGCCACAAAGGGAATGAAAAGCCACTAGAATATAAACTCAGAGCAAATGCCATTCCTTACTAGCACTGATAATGTTACCTAGTGTGGGTAATGAAACATCTGCAAGAAAACCACCAAGCTCAGAGAGCACCAAGAACCCCTCCCTTAAAAAGATGTAAGGTATTTTATCCCTTAAACCGTCCCCAGTGACACTGCTTGTGCTGAGAAAGCATGACCAGTGTATCAGGTTTTAATTAAAAGGAGTAAAGGAAGGAAGGAACACATGTGAAAAAACCCATGCTATACTGTCAATTTCATGAATTAATAACAAGTATTCCTTCCTTCTCCTTTCAGAAAAGAGTCCATTTAAATATTCATCAAATCCTTGTTAATTATTAACTGCTACAAATTAACCATAGATTGTTTCTTCCAATGTATTCTTAGCTAGAGTTTTTACTTGAAGGAACCATAACTTGCTCTTCATTTCCTAGAATTCCAACTGACTTCAGATGAAACCAAAAACATTTTAATTCCGACTTTACACTTCCAGATAACAACATGTGCTATTCCTTTTCAGCTATTTTTACACTGAGGTTCATTCTGATTCATTTGCCAGCTCAGTGAAACCCACAAACCCAACATTCAGTCTCCAAATTGTTTATTTGTGATGGTCTGCAGAGCCTCACACACAAAACACATTAGCAACATTTTCAAGGTGAAAGACTTCCTCTGGTAACCAAATACAAGCTGTATCTACTTTACAAGAACAAAGGGACTCTCATTAGAAGCAGATAATTGGCTACAAGTAAGGTGTCCAGCAACTCTGTACTCAGATACATTTGAATCATGGTAAAATAAGCATACATATTAGAAAAATATGTACCACATTTTTAAAAATCTACCGTGCTATGCACTAGGCCATGCAGAAACTTCTCTATTTTTCTTGACTCCCAAATGACAACATGGACAACTTACATAATTTATGTAACTTGCATAAAAAAATGATGTAAATGGTATAAAGTTTGTAATTATGCAATTAACAAATTATGCAAATAATGTCAGTAATAGACATTTTCACTTGTGGACGTTCTTGTTTAGCAGACTTTTTTTTCTCACCTTGTCTATCAAATCAAGATTTTATGGCATTGATCAATTCCATATATTAAGGATATACCTTGAGAAAAATATTTAACAACTGTTACTTTTTGTAGAGCAAAGGCGGTATAATCTATGAGTCTCCATGTTATTGAAGAAGAAATAAGTGAGAGGCAGGCATATTTAATATACCTAATTAACATAATGCAGCCCTACCTTTCTATCTTTCCTTCTTTCCAGGCAGATAGACACATTCTCAAACTCAATGTGTCAAGTTATTACCACTTTCCAATTTTTGTTTTCTAAAGACACTCTGGTTTGGCTAACAAGAATGGGATTAAATTCACTGCTTGCATAGAATTTACTGGAGACTATTTAATGCACAACACAAACTTGAGAACGTTTCTATCCAGCTTCTTGCTAAATATATGCCTTTTTTTGACCTTTCAAGACAGTCAACTTGGGCCAGCAGTGATGGCTTCTCCGTCCAACAAAGGATGGGCTAGAAAGACGCATAGGATTCAGAGGCTGTCTCATTAAATCATTCAAGGTATAGTGCTCAGTTGCATATTAACCAGCATTATATTAAAAAATACTGAACAAAGGACCTGAAAGGCACTAGGGAAGACTCCATAATAGTTATCCCTACTGAGGTGTTAAATGAATATTAAATGCTTTTTTCCAAAGTGTTAAAATAATTTTAAGAACAAAGACTCTTTTTTCAAAGCAAGCTGACCTTATGTAAAAAACCAGAACATTTAAATATGTTGTTCCAAGGGTTATGTAAATTTGAAGACTACTTCTTGCCTGTGCCTTTCAATTACTGATTAAGTGCTCAAACTAGTATCCACAGTTTAACGTGGAAGATTCAACTTCCTTAATAAAAGTTACATTTCACATGGAGCACAGGTATAAGGACCAAAAGCTTTGAGAGAATAAATCGTTTGTAGTATTCCTGGATACACAAAAGATGAGCCTTAAATAAAACAGCAGCAATTACAGAAGTAGCATCAGAGGAGACCCCAGTTAAAGTGGGAGGCTAATGTTCCTTTAGACAATTAGGCAATTTCCTCACCTCTGCCAATGTATATAAGAGAAGGGGAGGAGGAAGACCAAACTAACTTTGGGAAGTGACACAAGTGAAAATGACCAAAGAGGAAATTAGATCAAGCTGTGTGGAGAAACACCAATGTTTCTCTGTGGTGTTTAACCATCTTCAGGTCATTCATAAAAGAGAGACAGCACTTCTTAGTCATTCTCATATTCAAATGTGTATATTCTGTCTTTTCATTCCACCCCTGCCACGCCAAACACACAGACTACTTTGAATGGAATTTGCATTGCTTTAGCCAGAAAGAATAACAAGGTTAATGTGGGGGAAGAGTGTTCCTTATCATCCCCTTTGCCTGGTTCCTCAACTTTCTTTGTGTGATTGGTTGAGCAACTATGTTCCAAAAGATAGCATAGAAATGGACCAGTTTTTGTAATCTGCTCCATAAAAAGGCTACTTATAAGCAATGTTATAAAATGTTCAGATGATCACTTCTCCCAGACATAAAAGGGCAAGCTGCAAGAAACGTTTGCTTTTATAAGCCCACAAAGCTTATCTTTTCTCCAAAGAAAAACATAATTGATGTACATGTTGGGATCCATTTATAGCACCAGCGAGCAAGGAGTTAACTAACCAGCCCTTTAAAAGAGGAAATGAAGGCGTCCACTGTCTAATTATACTGAAAGCACTGCACAATTATGACTAAAAGCAGAGAAGTATCAAGGAGTGTCTAACTTTGAGCTGATTTACTTTCCTGGTGCCTTTTGAAGATTTAAGATGTTGCACAATATAGCTCTGCTGTCCACTGTTACTGTTTTGGGTGTGCTGGAACAAGGTAAGGGATGCATTCTGCTGTTACAGAAACAAATTGAACGTAGCTTTACACACTGTAAATAAAACCTGGGTTGTTAAGCTATGAGATGTATATTGTATAAGAAATTTAGCAGTAGGTTAGCCACAGAGCCAAAATGATTTGTGATATTCTAGTAAGTCTTTTATAAAAGTAAAAAGTAGCTCATGGTTCCTTTCAACTATTTGGAGGGGCAAAAGCCAAAGACTGGGTTATAGAAACAGTGATTGTGTATTGCCAGTAGTAGAGATGTTTAGTTTGTCTAGTACGAGAACAAAAACTAGAAAAAGAAAATACTTCTCCCCAAATCAAGGGAACATTTTGCTATTAAATGTAACCTTATTCCATAAAGCACCTTCTTGAGTTCAATGGGACACAATTTAAGCAGGGGACAAGCCCCAGAAGATAAACCAAACTATTGTACTGTACTCAGTAAGATAAACATAACTTTTTGTGTGAAGTTGAGATGCGAAAGCCATCCTTTGCTTGCAGCCTCTCTCATATTGCAGAATGTTTTTCTGCCACGTGCTCTGTTTCTCCCCATTGCCCATTTTATAACTGTCTCACTCCAATGGGACTAGCCTGCCCTACTTGTGCTGGCAGAAGGGGCATGCTGTGGAACCCATCAGTCAACTTCAGCTGGTGGGGGGTCCAGAAGAAGAACCTGTCCTGCTATGGATTTTGCCCTCTGGAACTTCATGGTCCCTGAGGCGACATCCGCATCCACCCTTTTGGCCTTCTGGAAGGGCATGAAGACCTGGCTGTGCCAAATGACCTGGAGCTCCAATGGGGATGTGGCATTTTGGAGATGGCTAATGGGGTAGATAACACCCCAGTCACCCCACCTCCTCCCTTCCTATCCACCTTGGTCAATTTAATTTTAATTGAATTTTGAATTTAAGATTTCTATGTATTGCTTTAATGTTTTACACCATCGTTTTATTGAATGGTTATACGCTGCTTAGAATCACCTTTGGTGGGATGGGAAACATATTTAACGAATAATTTTATGGAATCATAGACTGGAAGAGTTGGAATTTACCTTGGAGATCACCTAGCCCAAGTGCCTAATCAATACCCAAAATCCATTGCCAGGGCATTCCTAGCCGAAAGCTACCTAGTCACCCACCATTTAAATGCCCCGAGGAAAGATATCACCACCTCCCAAAGCAGTCTGTTCTGTTGCCAAACAATTTAACTGTTTAGCATTTATTTTTCCTGCTATCTAGCCAAAATTTACTTCTTTATAATTTAAATCCACCCTATTCTGTACTCTTGAGTACTTCTGTCCCATTTTCTACATAAGAACTTTTCAGTTATTGAATAACTATCAAGTCTTCACACATTCTTCTCTCCTGAAAGATAAACATCCCCAACTGCTCCTCTTGAGTTTTTCTGGCCAGGTTTCTTATTGTCTTGGTTACTCCTCTTCTGGACCCACTCCAGTGAGTCAACTGTTCTTCCTAAGTTGCTGGACCCACAACTGGCCCTAATATTCTTGGGGCTGTTTAACAAATGCAGAACCAAAAGGACAAAGAACAACCATTTTTCTATTGCCCTTTCTCATACTTGCCCTGGGCAGATTACAAGGCTGGTGAAAAAGAAAAGATGGAAGTTGTGAGGAGAATATTGGTTTGGGACAAAGTTCCCTAAGTGTGCTGTGTTGGAGCTTTCCCTTCAGGTGACAACCAAGAGGAGGTAATAAGGAAAGCTGTCCTGAAATATGCTTTATGTTTCCTACGATATCTTGGCAGACTTCAAATTCAATACAGCAATTGATCCATGTGTACCAATGTATTTGATACCCTCTGTTTCCCTTCTTCTTGCATATAACAATACCTTGTCTAACATTTCCTAGTGTAACCTGACTCTGCACATCACAGTGAACAGCAATTCAAAACATATTAATAAAATGCACCTTTAAACGAAATGTTCGTTTTTATTTGGGTTTGAACCTGGGGTGGTTTTAATACTCAAATATTGCACTTTTTTAATGCTATGGTTTTAATTTCCATTTGAGGATTAAAAATGGAAAGAAGCATAGATCATATCACACTATAAATTTGTGTAAGGCTGCAAATTACAACTTGTTTTCTGGCTTCTGTTACGGATTTTGATTTCAGCATTTTACTGGAATGTTTTACTGACTGACTTGCTATTTAGAGGTCACTAAAGGGTTTCTTGCCACTCCCAAATGGTTGGAATGCAATGCTCGTCTTTTAGAATTGCCCCCAGTCTGAGGGAAGAGTGCAGTTTTTAAAGGTGTGGAGTCAAAGCTTTGCAATTTGTTCCTTCCAGTTTGTTCCTACAATTTGAATATTAGCATATGAAGTGGTTAGGTAAAACACAAACACACACTTGGTTAAACATTTCTAGGGACACCTTTGTCGGTATTTTTGTCATGTTTTCTTTAATTTTCACTTGTGGTGTTGATATATAATATTTTTTAAAAAACACATTACATTAACCCTTTAAAATGGCATGTTTGTGGGCTCTAGGGGTGATAAAATATATTGTTTTATTTATTTCAAGTGTTTCTTAAAGGCTCCACAACTATTAGTTATAAGGCTACATGCAAAAGAAATATGGTCTTTTAAATTTAAAATATAAAATATAAAATGAAACATTGAAATAGATGCCACATTTTTAAAAAAATACAGCAGAAATAAAGTTAAATAACATCATAGGACAGCAGCAGAAAAGAGAAATGACAGGAGAGGAAAGAGTTTTCAGAGGTGGGGGTGGATGAGTTTCCCCACTTGGGAAGGGATGGTCTCATTGAAGGTAATCTTCCACTCTTGCTCAACACAAGAGTCTGGGCCTCTACTCTGTCAATCATCTTCCTAGCCATTGAAGAATCTGCCATAGCAGATTGCCCATAGCAAGTAAGCCAAAGCAAAAGTGCCTGGTCTAGTGGTGAAAGCACCAGACTAGAAAGTGAGCGATTATGAGTTCTAGTCCCTCTTTAGATGTGAAAGCCAGATGGGTAACTTTGGGCCAGTCTTTCTCACAACCCAATCTACCTCACAGGATTGTTGTGGTAGGGAAAATACGAGGAGGAAGTACTAGGTTATTGAGTTATTTGTAAAAATAATAAAGGCAGGATACAAAAAAAAAAAACCATTTCCTTCTTCTGACCCTGTAGTCTCTATTCAGGGTAGAGTTATTGCTACTAGATGGAGATGAGATTTACTGGCCAGATGCCCTTCCTGACACCTACATGGGAGTTCTCAGCAGATATTTTTTATTCGCACCTTAGGAAAGAAACATCTGCTGCTACCTAGGATTGAACCCTCAACCTTTTGAGTTGGAGGCAAGAGTCTTCACCATTAGGTCTATAGAAATAAATAGAATAAAATGTGCACAAATGTAAAATAGAATCCTTTTGCAGAAATGTGGGTACTTTGACCACTTGAAGGTAAAGTTCTATCCATCCTATTAATGTTGAAAGGGAAGAAGAAGCCGATAAGAATCAAATGATGTCTGGGGGTCCTTCTGAGGCTTTCTTGGGTTCTGCTCTTGTGTATTCAGTGTGAGCTGTGTTTGCTGATACAAATGACTGAGCTGTTTTCCTTCACAAGGAGAAATAATGAGCTTTTCTTTACCTTTTGTTTACCTCCAGCCTATTTTGCCATTCAGGTGATCGCCTTTCGGAGGAAGTTCAAAGTCTCTCCTCCCATCATTTCAGGCCCACCAGAATTTGAAAGGATCTTCAGAGCACAGTAAGTTAAATTCTGTTTTTTTTTTAAAAAAGAATATGTGTTGCCTTTGAAATGCATTTAAGAAGAAACAAAGTATTCCCTTTCAAGGTAAATGATGTTATGCAAAGTTCATAAAAGATGGAAAAACTCAAATAAGATGAACTGGGGAGAGGGAGAGAAGAAAGCATAACTAGATCTAGTTTATAGTAACATGTTTGCTACAGTTTTTCATGGTTTTCTGACTTGGTGACTTCATGCTTTTTGTTCTTTAAAAGTACTCTTTTTTCTCTTTTTTTTTAGGATTTCATCCACTCCATCCAACTGTGACTTTCTCAGCTTTCTTCCTCTCAATCACTTGACTCTCTCTTCATATATTTCCTCTGTGGTTTGATTTTCATTCGTTCTGTCTGTATGGTCAAGCCACGTCAGATTTCTTTTTTATTCCGAGGCCTTGCTACTACATTCAACTTCCTTTCATTTTTCTGATGAATTTATTTTCAGACCGCAGTCTTGAAATCAACTTTGGGCATTAAAATGTCACCCTTCTAATTCTAGACCAAGGGGAGGATTTTGACAAATATTGGTTATGTGGAGTAATTGGGAAGTCTGGGGAATGCCTCTGGCCTCTTCCTCTATTTTGGTTTCCACAAATGTGTTCAAACTGTGTTAGAGTATTGCACATTCTAAGCAGAAAATGCCCGTAACAATTCTCTCTAATGACATAAGATGGAACACAATGTTCAGAAGTTTAGAAGAACAGAGTTTGAAGGGACCTTGGAAGTCTTCTAAGGTCAAGCAGGAGACCTATTACCATTCCAGACAGGTAGCATTCCAGTCTCTTCTTAAATGCCTCCAGGGATGAAGCACCCACAACTTCTGGAGGCAAGCTGTTCCACTGGTTAATTGTCCTCACTGTTAAGAAGTTTCTTTTTAATTTCAGGTTGCTTCTCTCTTTGATTAGGTTCCACCCAATGTTTCTTGTCTTATCTTCTGGTGAGTTTGGTGACTGCTATGATGTCACCCCAATCCTTCTTTTCACTAGAAAATGTGCTCCTTCCTCACATTTTCGAGAGAACATAATTTCAGAAGCAAAGCTTTAGAGTCAGTCTAGTTGCTAAAGCATCAGGCTAGAAACCAGGAGGCTGTGAGTTCTAATCCTACCCTGGCAAGAAGTCTGGCAGGAGACTTTGGACTGGTCAGCCCAACCTATCTCAAGGGATTTTTGTGGGGAAAAGAGGAGGAGGAGGAGGAAGGAATCTTAGGTATCCTCACTGCCTTAAGTTAATCATAAAAATAATAACAGTGGGATATAAATAAATAATTATTCAAGGCATGGTAAAGCTTTTCATGAGTGGCTAATGGTAGCTGTCCTGCCTAATTTCCACATGGCTGTAACTGTGTTTGGTGAGAAAAGGTAAACACATAAAGGTTCTCATAACAAAAAGCTGTTTTGTGATAACTAACTGCAGTCTACACATTTCAGGCAAACATCCATCTCCTTTCCAAAGTACCAATGGGAGAGGCTGATTTGCACTCAGCAAAGAGAGAGAGGAAATGAGAGCGTTGTTTTCAAGGCTGTGGCTTTTTTTTTTTTTTTTTGCTAAAATAACCTGCTTTCCATAGCTTGTTCAAAATATGGGATGCTCCAGATAACCTGCTCCAACATGGGGCAGCCTTCAAATTTCCTAGCCAGCATGACCTCTGCTGGGAATTCTGGGAGGTGATGCCCACACATCTGGAGGGTGGTCAGGGTGAGAAACACAGCCCCAGACCCATCAAGTCAAATAAAAGTGTCCAGTTCCTTGCATCTGTTCATAAACTGAAGCATTTGTTGTTTGCTGTTGTGGGAAGAAAAATCTGGCCCAGTTCCAAACCGGGAGAAAGACACTAGAAATAAAATCGAGGCTGGCTGGTTGGAAGGAAAGGCTTCCAGAAACTTCAGTGATAGCAGCATGTTTCTGGAGTGGCTCACAATGGCTGAGTGAGTGGATGGGTCTTTATAGGATTCTGGGGTTTTGTGACTGAGATGCTCTAATAGCTTTATACAGTAGAGTGAGCCTTGTGTCTTTTACAAGCCTTTTGGCTGAAGGTGTTTTGTTTATGAATAGATTGGCCCAGTCTTTCTGAATAGATACAAAATCTGCATTCCTAAAGCCAGCCTCTTCAACCTCTTACAAGCTGGCAGGAAAACTGGGGCTGCTCTCTGCCTTTCTTAAGATTTTTCTCCGTTTCTCCTTGGGGAAATGTAATATTCTGCCTCTTTTAATATTATCTCAAATATTTAACTCTCGAGGTGGTGGGGGTGCTTCCCACACTAGCTTTAAAATCAATGGACTGAATTTTCAAACTACTCTCTTCTGATTTTGGCTCTTCCAATGAGAGGTGCACTTACTAATCATCTGTTTGAATTATTGCCACAAGATATTTCTAAGATGACTGGCAGCTCCAAAATGTGATTTTGATTGGTTCAAACTGCTGCCAGAGGAAATATATATTCCATTCATACTGAGTGAACTGCACTGACTTCTTGCTGATTTCTTGACATCATTTAACTTGCTATTAATCCTTGCAGTTCAGCCTCACTCACAGATCAGCTGATGAAGTTCTGTTTTCATCTTCCTGTTTTGTCATTTGGTTAGGGAGAGCTTTTTCTTGGAAATACTTACACTTTTCAAATTTACCCTCTAGGACAAGTTACTTAAAATTGTTTCACTTTTCTTTGAAGGGAGGAAATGATCAAAAGGTCAGATCAGGTCAGAAAATGAAACTCCTTCTATCTGATCTATTGCAGCTCAGGTAGTATTAAATAAGGTAGGTAGGAGGCCATACATGGAAGTGAGCAGTTCTGCTTCCTTTATGCCAGTGTTGGAACAGAAACCAGCTTCCCGTATTCACCTACAAGATCCTCCATGCTAGACACCATGATCTAACAGACATATCACTCTCCCATTTAGTGGTACCTTATCTACAATTGGAGACTCAATTTTGAGTGCCTTTGACATGCTTTGGCAATAAACTCTAGAATATGGGATTTTTTTAAAAAAAATAATAGAACCACCTCCCCCACCACCCCCAACCTGCAACAGCTAGGGAATATCATCTTCAAATGGGCTACAAATGCTTACTTTGTTATCTTTCCAGCAGCAGACAAAGCTCATTTGATTTTCCTTCACCTCTTAATTGCCTTGTGTGCAGAGTATTTTATTCTTGTGATGCTTCCTTGTAACTATTTTTGTTGCCAAAAGAGACTCTGCTACAGAATGATAAAGATTAGAACCAATTACGAGCAATTCCTCTTCAAAACTTATCTTTTCTATAAAACCTCTGAGGCAAATCTACAGTTTCTATGTAATTATCTCAATACTGTAAATATCACATCTTCAGGTTTTTTTTAACCTCCATTTCAGTCCCATTTTTTTCCTTGTCTCTATAATTTAGAATGTAAGCCCACTCTTAAAAGGAAAACCTTTTATTTCTATAATCAAAATGAATTTTCAATTGTTACCACCCACCGGGCATGCAATTCAGCAATAAGGATACAAACATAGTGATTTTTTTTTTTTAGACTGGAACAAAAAAAATCCACTTTTCAGAAGTAGGGAAATAATGCATGGTTGCAAAAATATTGTGGCTGCAAAACTGCATAGATGGAAGTGTGTACATGTGTTTGTCTATAGTGGTTTGAGATGAATTTGTGATTGGATGCAGAAATGGGCTAAAATGACCATAGAGGTCCAGAAAATGAGAATCGGAGCAAATCTGACAGATTTATTCAGTCCCAATTATTTTTTCCCCATCAGTGGCAATCTGATTGTTTTCTCCTTTGTTTTACCAGAGCAAACTGCTCAGAATATTTCCCAATATTTCTGTCCCTGTTATGGGTGGCTGGAATCTTTTCCCATCAAGGTAAGAAATAAAATCCTAATTCAGAATCACTCAACTGCAATGTCCTTTCTGCAGGTAAAACTATGGAATAATAAGTGAGAAGCTGAGAACGTTTTAAAAGACCTCCACAGCTTTTTTGTTTTTTTTTTATTGTTAATGTTTATCTAATGTAACTGCATTGCAAATAAAGAGTTAAGTATTAAACGCTGGTAGCTGGGTAGAGTTCTAATCAAGGCAGGCACCACGCTTGCAGTGGAAGAGATGATGGGCCTTGGGTTTCCCTGGAGTATTTTCTGTACCTACTACTTGCTATCACCTGCACAAAGGCTCCCACTTCTCTTGTTTGCCTCAAAATGCTGTGGGGCATCTATGGCAACCTGATGCTTCCCACTGTTCATCTAAAATGCACCACTTGTAAATGATGTAACAGGCCAACACACGTGATTAGAGTTAGTCCTCAACTTACGACCACAATTGAGACCAAAATTGGTTGCTGAGCGAGACGTTTGTGAATTTTGCCCCATTTTACAACTTTTCTTGCCGCAGTTGTTAAGGGGATCAGAGAAGTTGTTAAGCTAGTAACATGGTTATTAAGTGAATCTGGATTCCCCATTGACGTTGTCTGTCAGAAGGTCACAAAATGAGACCACATGATCCCAGGACATTGCAACCATCATAAATGTGAGTCAGTTGCCAAGCACCTGAATTTTGATCATGTGACTATGGGGATGCTGCAATGGTTATAAGTATGAAAAACAGTCATGTCACTTTTTTAGTACTATTGTAACTTTGAACAGTCACTAAATGAATTGTTGTAAGTTGAGAACTAATTGTATGTGTGAGATACTATTACTACTGAAGTATGCAGTTATTGTGTCTTGCCATACTCCCAGATTTGTCAGAGGTTTCATGAGGAGTTTGGGTAAAACAGATCCCATCTGCATCAGGCTAATGTAAGGAAGAACAAACACTATATTCTATAGGCTCAAGCTACATGGGAAGCCAAGAATTAATGCTATTGCTTCTTCCTAAAAATCTTTACAGTTGTGCTGATATATAATCGGAGGATCCAGGGGAGGGATTCAAATTTTTTAACAACTGGTTCTGTGGGCGTGGCTTTGGTGGTGGGCGTGGCTTGGTGGTCATGTTATTGGCTGGGCGTGGCCAACTCAATATCACTCACTTCGAGGCATGCATCTCCTCGCCTAGCCTCTCATGACTGTGGAGATGCTGCAACAGTCGTAAGTGTGAAAAATGGTCATAAGTCACTATTTCAGTGCCATTCTAACTTTGAATGGTCACTCCACACAAGCAAAGTACCAGCAAAGGAGGAGAAAAAAAACTCCAGAGAAGTTCCAGAGACAGGAAGTCTAGTCCTGCCAAGAATGTAATAAGGGTTAACGGAGAGGCAGTTTCTGTAAGCAACAACAGAATGTTTCCTTCCTGCCTTCCTTACAGGATTAGCCCAGTTTTATTCTAACAACCGGTTCTCTGAACTACTTAGAATGTTAACAACTGGTTCTAGCAAATAGGTGCGAACTGGTAGAATCCCAACTCTGGGAGGATCTAGATAATAGTACTCCTTTACATGATTTAATTCCCACAGACCTGGCTACATTAAGTCTGTCAAAGCAAGCAGCAAAGCAAGAACATCTTTGGTGTTTTTCTTTCCAAATATGTTTATGATATTGGTTTTGTTAATGTCCCCCCCACCCCATTTTTCAGAAAGGTATACTTCCTAGAGTCACTTTGGCAATTGAGACAGTTTACAAAGAAATTAATTAAAATATAAAGTTGATAAGAGAAATTGCGATTTAAGGTTTCTTTTAATAATTTGTCAGTTGTCACAAAAGATCTTTTTTAGCAGTGACTTTTGCAGAATTTTACTGTATGTTTCATTGTTAAGGCAAGGCCGGTGGGAGTCCCTTTAAACTGTAAAAGTGTCTGCCACCCCAAGTAGCTGGTGGATGAGTATCTAAGCAATTTTGTTTTTTGGCTGGGGAAAAGACAAAACTATCCCCTTCACTGTGTGTGTGTGTGTGTGTGTGTGTGTGTGTGTGTGTGTGTGTATTTAGTAGTGGTAATTATGCCTCCCTTAACACTCCATCAATGCAAAAATGATTATGTATCCCAGCATCAGTCTGCAAACCTGATTTGCTGTATTTGTGTCCTGCCCTTGAGTTGCCTCAGGAAAAACTTTTTTTTAAGAAAAAAAAAGCCCTTTGTTGTATTTCTTATTGAAATTAGTATTTGATAAACTTTCTAAATACCTGATTACTTCTTTCTCTGTAGTTTTGGCTGCATTCTGTGGAGTAATTTACCTGTATGCTCGCTATCAATACTTTAGAGGATATGCACATTCTGCTGAAAGAAGGTGAGGAATCCTTGTGTGAAATACCTCAAGTAGGCTGTCTTTCAGAGGAGTAATTTTTTTGATGTTCAAACTAGATTTTGTAGCCTTGAGAGCAACGCAGATCCATCTCTGCTTTAGGCTAAAGGCAGGTAACACAGTGTAAGATGTTTTCCAGTACAAAAACCACCCCTTGCATAAAACAAATTAGGTGATTTTCCCCCCTCCCCTAACTTCCTGTCTCCTAATAACCCCCAGGAATATATTAATTTTATATTTAACCCCATGAGCTCTCAAGGAGTATAGATTTGACAAAGATTAAGCACTTTGTTGATAATTAAGACAAAGAAAACACAGCATCTCGGAACATCTCTTTAATTCCACATCAATGGTGGGGAATTTGGCCCCTTTATGACTTGTGGACCAACTTCCTCAGGAATTCTGGGAGTTGAAGTCTACAAGTCATAAAGGGGCCATAATTTCCCACCCTTGTTCTATATCATTTACCCCTTATAATGTTTTAAGAAAAGAAAAGAAACTGCCAGAAACTGCCTATCATTCTGTGGTTAGTCCTAGAAGATAAGATGCATTTCTATAATCTAGGTCACGGGTTGCCAACCTTTTGGACCTCAGGGTCCACCAAACTCATAATTTAAATCCCGCAGACCAGAGACCCTGGGAAAATCCCCAAAAAAGTCATCAAGAAAATTCCCCACCCCGTGTTCCTACCAATCGATCGTTCTTTATTTGGGATTTCAGGATACTGTCTCTAGCTCCGTTCTCGGGGGGAGGGGGGAGAGACTTTTGGCTTCATGCAAGGAAAGCAGCAGAAGCAGCAGAAGTCTTTCTTTCTCTCCCCCAAACTCCACCAGAAATGAGTCTTTGCTGGCACAGCCTCTTGGAGCAGGATGCCTCGCAGGGTTCCAAAGACTCATTTCTGGTGGAAAGACAGACTTTTGCTGCTTTCCTTGCATGCAGCCAAAAGAAGAAGAAAGAAGCAGAAAGAAGCAGTGGCCAGGCCAGGCACATGGGGCAAGTTTCCCCCTCCATCCTTTCCCCCCTCCCCTCACTACCTCGTGTTGTTTACAATGCGATGCAAGCCTTGTGTTCCCACAGGCCATGTGGGCGGCACAGCCTTGTGTTCCGCGAAGCCTGGATGAATTGCTTTGGGAGGTGCTTTGGGGCTGACATTTCTCTGCGGGCCACCAACATTTTCTCATGGACCACCAGTGGTCCCCAGCCCACTGGTTGACGAGCACTGATACAGGTAGAATATCCCATGTCTGGTGAACTTGGAAAGACAAATGTTTGGACTTGAGAGGTTATTTTGGGAAAAACAATCAAAGCCAAGGATGTGGGTTCAGTTTGTTACCATCCCACAACACTAGTAGTTGCAAGTCAGTCAGTTGATTTTGCTAAATGGCATTTTTTAAATCTTTCCCCAGTAATGCAGCTCATATCTGCAGGGTTTGTCTCAGTCTATTTACCAGGTTACTATGAAAGTTATTTGTGAGAACACTGGCATTACTGTGGCAACAGCTAGCCTCAATTAACTCTAGCTGTTTTTTTCTCTCTATTTGCACAGATTGGGCCCCATGTATTTCAGCGCTGCAGTTCTTTTCATTCTTATTGGCTTGTCCATGGTGGGATTACTCGTCCATTTTGTGCGATACTTCTGATTTCTCAACAGTGCTTTGAAATCCCTTTCAACTGACAAAATACTCAGTGATTTGCGCCTTAGTTGTCAACTTTCATTTCTCCTTTTTCCCCCCAAATTAAAATAGTTTTGCACACCAGCCTTTTCAAACTATAATTTTATAGAAATCTATTTTTGTTTTCTGTTAATGTTTCCCCATAGTGGTATTGTTATATCTATTTCCTGTGGTTAAAAAAAAAAAAGTTAAGTTGTAACAGATATACTTACAAAGTAAAATTCTGAATAATACATGATATACCATTAGGCTAGTCTGATGCTTTGAACAAGGACCGTGAGGTATCAAGGTTTGGATTTAGTGCTGTTGGAATCAAAGGCTTATATTAAGATGTTATGCTCACGTTATACTGGAAGACAACCAGAATTAAATTAGTCAAACTAATTTGAAATGATTGGTTAGGAACCATGGATGAAACTGAGGTTTCTTTTAAAGAACCCTTATTGGGCTTTTCTCAGAAAAGGCACATCCAGTTGCAGGAATTGGGTTAGATATGAATAAGCTGATGAAAAGGTTTACTTTTTTATTGTAGTTTTCAATTATTAAGCTAATTTTGTCTTCATTATTATTCTAATTGTTTTCACCTCACAGGAGGTTGTTAGTTCAATCCTAGGTAGCTTTGACAGATATTTCTCTCTGTGGGTGTAATGAGAAAATATCTGCTGTGAGCTCCGCATAGGCAGTGGGAAGGGCATCTGGCCATTTAAATGCTCAGCTCCATTCAGTTGCCCCGACCCAACACGATGAAAGGGACTAAGGGGTCATTAAAAGAAAAAGAAAAATCTAATTGTCTCAATTTTATTCTTTTCTCTCTCATTTTCATATTGTTTGAAAAGAGTTAAAAGAGTACCTATAATTCCCAATCCTTTAACTATAGCTCCATCCCACATACTGGGGTGGATCCAATCTGGTGAAGGAAGAGTCAAGTCCTAGGAGACACTATTATGGAGTGACTTGGGGCTTCTTTATCCTCTTTACTACCATGCGAAGTTGGAAGAAGTCATGGAAGTTCACAATGTGGTGAATATACTGATGATCCCCATCTCCATTTTGGGCAAATTGAAGAAGCAGAAGGTATCCTGTGCAGTGCCTAGAGGCTGTCAGGATTTGGATGTGGAGAAACGGGCTCACAATCCATCAAAACACCTGCTAATTTAGAAGCCAATATTTTCTATGTAACATTTTAAAGCTTATTGAAGTTAAACCACAGGGAGAACAGATGGGCAACTTGAGAATCCTGCTGAATTCATGTCTATGGTGATTCTCAGTCATCCAGGTCATGGTTGTCTCAAAGGTGCTTTTCAAAAGGCAACTAGACTGGTTTTGTTTTTTCCATGAAGATGCTTCACTTTTCATCCAAGAAGCTTTCTCAGTTCAGAACCAAAGTGAACTGAACTGAAGAACTGAGGAAACTTCTTAGATGAGAAGTGAAACATCTTCAAGGGGAAAAAAACAAGTCCAGTTGCCTTTTGAAAAGCACCTTTGGGACTCCTGAAGTTATAGTACCCTCTAGAGGAGCAGTTGGCCATGACTAAGAAAACCTTTGCTTAGCTTAAGCTAAGGTGCCAGATTAATGGAGGTCCCACTGGAAGATTGGCAAGGTAGAAATGTAGCAATGTGTGCCAAATTCTATATTTTTATGTAATAGCTGCACAGTGAAATGCATTTCAGTATTTGGCAAACTAGTTCAGTTAACTTCGAACTTCAAAATACTGATAGAACTCTCTGTTCTTGGCTAGAATCACCTGATGTAAACAAGGCACTGCTTGCCCTTGTGTGGCCTTTCAAGGATAAGAGAAGATAAAAGGCAAACTTCTCCTTGTTCTTGGTAAGGATAGGTGGACAATCGGATAACATACAACAATCCACACTGTTCTTGGCAGAGATGAGCAGACATACTGTATAGAGGTGTGATTACAAGGGCTTCTGATTGGTTTTTATATAGTAGATCATAGGTATATGATCTACTGTATAAAAACCAATCAGAAGCCCTTGTAGAGTGGAACTTTAGAACAGACCAAATCTGGGAGTTAATGTACATTTGCTGACCTGGAGAAGTTTCCTGACTAACAGCAGAAATGCAAGGTTTCTTTGTCTTATACATTAGTATTATGCTCTTTGTAAGTTGTATTTGATCGTTTCTTCCTTTGTTTTTCATATTGCCTTGGAATAAAACCTTGATTATCCATATTATGTCCTTATTTCCCTTGAATCCAAAAGTAGATGCAGCTCAAACAGAGCAGCCACCTTCCTGCAATAGGATGTATGGGTAACTCTTGAGTTGTAATAGCAGTCAGGACTGCAATACTGATCACTGAGTGATGTGGTTGTGAAAGCAACAGCAATCCCAGTTAGTGTCATAACCCAGAGACTATGTGGGTCATTAAGAGAGGATTCAACTGAAATCCTAGGCAAACAGTGCTGCAGGAGGGTTCTGCTGAACATGGGTGAGATGGCAGGCACTTTGGAACATGGGTGGGTGGGTGGATGCTGTGGAATAGAAGATTCCTGGGACCTCATCCTCTGCAGAAGAACTCTTGGGAGAAAAAGGGTGGGGTTGACTTTGGCCTTCCCTGCTGGTTTCTCCTTTGACTCTGCTTGTGGGAAGCTGTCAGGGAAGAATGCAAACGAAGATCATGTGGCTATAGCTCACTAGCAATATTGCAATCATAACTTGGGCACCTGAGTGCTCAGATTGTGATTATATAATGGGGCGGGGGGGACATTGCAGTAGTCAGAACTCCCGATGACTAGTCATAAATCCCCCTTGCTCAGCGCCATCATAATTAAACAGAACTGACATAATCCAAGGACCAACTTTAGTGAGGACAGCAAGTCATAGTCGGGTCATCTCTTGTTTAAATTACTGTAATTCACTCTATCCAGGGTTGCCCTTGGCTGCTGAGCAAACATCAGCAGGTCTAAACTACAGCAGCCCATATTTATATTGATCAGTCCTATTACTGATAAATCACACCACTGAGTATCTGCTACAAAGGATATAAGCATGCACAAGCCTCTGATTTATCAAATCACTACCTGCCATTTGTATGCTACCTGCCTCTGTTTATATTTTCCCTTTCATATCTATTTGAGGCCCAGAAGGCTTTTGGAAATAAAAGTGATGCTGGAAGATAGCGGCGTATTTTAGGGCATGCCAGTTTCCTATTTCTTTTAATTAAAATAATGTCTTGGAAATATAAAATGTCAACTGAATCAGAAAGACTAGTGAGTGGCCTAAAGATGCCTAAAAATATACTGATATTCCCCCAGTGCTAAGTTGGGAATTGTACTTCTAGATCTTTTTGACAAATTGGAGAAATCGCTAGATTCAGACAAAGTTAACTAAGAGTTTTAAAAAATAGCAAACATGAAGTTGCAGTTCTTCTCACAAAATATGTTCCAGGTCTTTAAAATCTTACCGAAGAACTGAAAAATGACCAATATAAAAGATTTGATAAATTATAGGCCTGTTAGATTGCTTTGCTTAAATCGGTTGAAAAGAGTAACTTTAGTAACTTTCATGTCAGATAAATGTTCTGCAATTCAAGCAGAAAATTTTTCCCAGTGCCCAATACAGTAGATGAGATGGGCATTCAGTTGGATCCAGCAAGGCTGCTAGTTAAGTAAGATTATGCAAGTTCATGGCCTAGGAAAGATGAAGGTGAATTATAAATTATAAAAACATTTATTATGGGGAAAAAACACCTATCTTCTTGTTTATAATGGGTATTTTTAAGGAAGTAAAATGCCCAGTTTTGGTATGCTAATATTCTTCGTATTGCACAGACACTGGCATGCAGAGAAAATGGCTAAGTTTTGCTTTTAATAGAAGTTTTCCCCCTTGCAAAAATATCTCTTGGCTAGCTATACCTTCATGCAAAAAGACAAATCATTCACATACTTATAATATACCTGCAAAATATTTTCAGTTTGTCAGAGTTATCTGCTTAAGGAAAATGCAGTAAAACACTTTCTACAGTGTACCTTTATATATATATGTGTGTGTGTGTGTGTGTCTGTGAGTGTATGTGTATTCACACACACACACACACTCTTGAAAAAAACCAAATGTATCCAATAATAAAAAAATACAGCACATGAAAGTAGTATAATGCATTCCAGTGTATAGTTAAAGACATCGGGTTTTTGCTTTAAACTCTAACCCCTATCCTTTGAGAATTGACCGAAAGTTTTCTTCTTTTTTAAAATTCACATCAACCGGTACATTACAGAGAGATGGATTTAAAGGGGTAAACTTTGTACTGATTCCCAAGGCATGAAGAGACTGGAGAGTTTAACATGATCTGTATTTATAAAAGAGGCAGGTTCAACCATGGGTGGCTCTTGCACGTTGTTGTTTTCTTTTTCTATCCCTGCCATTTGCCACCTCTGCAATTTTTGAGAAGGGTCCTCCTTTGCATTTTGTTTTCAGGTGTGGACACAGCAAAGGTTACTTGAAAAGTTGGAGGTCAAGTATTATTATATCTTGACTGTTTTCCATAAGTGCTCAACTGTCAAGTTTCCCTTTTGTTTGCTTCACATTCCATAAACCTGCACTTCTAAATGTACCTTTTAATGATACATTCTGGATTAAATGTTCAGGGAGGAAGAAAGAAATATAGGAACAATATGGTTCTTACTCAAGAGAACAAAAAACAAACCTTCTACACTGAAAGTTCATCCCTATGTTTCTATGTTTGTGTTCTAGCTGCAAAGGCAACTGACTGTAAGGTAAGCCAGCAATGGTGCTTCTTGTAAGAGTCTCAGCACCCATGTGTGAAAAATTCTTCTCTTCCTCATTTAAGAATGGTAAGAAAACTCCAAGGTTCTCCCAAATTTCACCACAAGATTTTTCTTCCTGTTCTTGGGGCAGGAGGTGCTCTTTACGGATCTAGCTTCGCTTCATTAGTAGCCCATTCATTCTGATGCATCTTCACTGCCTTGGAAGAATGGAAGAGCTAGAAAGCCATTGGATATGTTACTCCCTGTATCTTCAAGGTCAGTCTGCTTTTTTCAGGAATATCTGAAAGTACATGAATAACAAAAGAAAGCTGATCAGAATTCAGCCAGTCAGCATTTGGGCTTATAAAGGATCTCTCTTACAAAAGAGTAAGTTGCATAACAAAACTACTGTCCAAACTACAAGTTATCTCTTTATGTATAATGTGGAAGGATATCATTATCTGACAGAGTTCAGTGGTTACTGTAAACCCTAAAATAGATCCAAATACTGCTTGTTTACAGAACATGCTGAATCATAAACTATGATTACAAGCCACAGTGGTTATGTTCATGTAACCACCTAAATGAAACACACAATGGCTTAATATGATGCCCTGGTTTACTTAACTTCTTAAAATGTAGTGTGCTGCTGACTTTCCTATAGTTGTTTAAGTTATAGGGGTGGCTCTTAAATTTTATTGTATTAAACTTTATGGTGTCGTGACTATAACAACAGAACAATAATAGACTATCCAGAGCAACTTGGTAACCCCAAGTGTTATAATCTTATTACCGATATTATTAGATTCCCAATAGCTGTTGAAAGAATTAAATCTTCTCCAGCTGTGTGGGTTTTTTTTTTTGCATGCATTCCAGATGCCAATTCCTATCACCCCAGTCAGCTGTCTGGATATAAGGGAATTGGAACATTGCTAGGAACAGTGGGAGGGGAAGCTACTGTTGAAAGCCAAGTAGCCTCTGATAGCATGGCAGCTGATGAGGCTGCACCTAAGAAACGGTGCACTTCCACTGACCACAAACTACTAGATATAAATGCCACATGGAGCAAGCAACCAGATTTTTGTCCTTGAAGACAATATTTTTTCCCGCCATGTTCCTGATTGGCAATATAATAAGAATCTTCAAAGGTCAAGAAATGAAGGCGGGGGATGTTCTTGTAGACTATAGCCATAATGACCCAATGGCTTCAGTGACTTCATTGGATGAAATGGATCTTAGGACGCTCCTTCTAATCTCGAGCAACCATCTGGAGAGGTTTTCCTGGAAAGCAAAAGAACTTTCTAAAGCAGCAACTGGATTCTTTTTGCGGCAGGCGGTTAGCAGGTGTGTCAATTTCAGGAGCTTCCAAGGCCTGAGACAGGCAGGGGGAGGAAGACGGGAAAAGAACTACCAAACACTGGAGGAAAATGTGGCTGAGGTGCCAAGGCAAAGGGGACAAGAGGCTCCTCCTGGGACACTAGACATCTTCTTCTCCACAGATGTAGGGACTTGGTGTGTTGTGGCTCCGAGCAGGGTCTGCCTACTACTCCTGCCACCCTATGCCTTCATATTGGTGAAAGTAGCTGCCCAGCAAGAAGTAGATCAGAAGTGATTGTGAGTATGAGCATGTTATTTCTACCGGCAGCTTTCAAAAGTAGTGACCTCAATATCATGCTCTCTTTCTGGCTCCAAAGAAGGGCCCCTTTCTCCTCCTGATCAACTCTATAGCACAGGCACCTCCCCCTGAGAATCAGAACTCTAGGGAAGCTGCACTCCCACTCTTTCCATCTTTCAACTTCTGGCTATTGGCAACTGGGACACCACCCCTCTAATTTGCTCATGACCTACACTTTAAGAATCCCTGGTTTATGGCATTGTATGAGTAAATGTGCCATCTGGTAGACTTTGCTATTAAATCTTTTTTTCATAAATTATGCCTGTGACGCTTCCAGGTAGGCTGCATTTTCTAAGATAAGGAAACCAGAAAGATTACATTTAACTGCTTGGAGATTCATATTCATAACCATTTAAAGGCAGAAATAAAATCTATGAATGCACCAACCAGAAACGTCTACCTACAGCTGTGAAGAATGTCTGTGGACAAATGTTATGTACCAGTTCAGTACACAGAGTTAGTTTTCAGTTACTGATGATAATTGGGGCCAGAATTTCCATTGCTAAGTGACACGGTCATAAAATGCAATATTACCTGACTGCATCATTTAGCTATGACAATCCCAACATTCCCATTGCTGTTATTAAGCAAGGATTGTGGGTTTTTTAACTAAATCCCAGGCAGCTTACAAGAAGGCTAGCAGTCAGACAGTGGTGGAAGAACAGTGGGGTCGGGAGTTGCTTCTGCCAGCTGAGGGAGGTTGCGAAGAAGGGTGACTTGTTACTTTCCCTGCCATGTTCCCCATTAAATAGCCAGCAAGGAAAGTCACATGACTTGGCAATCACATGATGCTGCAACCATCATAAGTGCCAGCTGGTTGCCAAACATCCAAATCACATTCATGTGACCATGGGGGTGCTGGGATGGTCAGAACTTCGAGGACTGGTTGTAAGTCTCCTTTTCTGGAGCTGTCATAAGTTTGAACAGTGACTAAATAAGTGGTAAACCAAGGACTACCTATACACCCTGGAGACAATTGTTCCAAGTACCCACAGCAGCTGAGGCCTCCATGCGACACCACAGCTAATGTTATGGCCAGTTTGCAAAACCACCGAATCTCACCCCTGGCTGACCCCTCCCACCCTGCCCCACCCAGGAGTCCCCACCCGGCCCGTTCTGGATGTGAGGTAAGTGCAGTGCTTTCGTGGAGGCTCAGGAAGAGTGAAAAACGGGCCTCCCAGAAGTTCCAGAAGGATGGAAACAGGCCTGGTGGAGGCCGTTTTTGCCCTCCCGGAGGCTTGAGGAAAGCCTCTGGAGCCCAGGGAGTGAGAAAATGCTCCCCTCCACCGTGGTGCAGGAGGCCGACTAGGCCACACCCACCCAACAACCAGGCAGAGAACTCATTGCTGAAAGTTTTGAAGCCCACCTCTGGGTAGAGATGCAATTTTAGATGCTTTGGTGCATGGCTGGAATGAATAAACAATTCCTCCTTATTGTGCAGTCAGGTAAGGCTGCAACTGAAAGGACCCTGTGGGAGAAAACAGTGTTTGTACCCTCCTCCTCATTTAATAGCTTGACCAGAATGGCCAATTACCTCACTCAAGATTATCCACACGGGAGAGTCAGTCTGGATGGAGAGTCGTATTGCTTCCAGAGGGCCAAAGGAAGGGTCCACTTCTCCTTCAGCGATGCCCTTTGAAAACGAGCCTGTGAGAAGATAGATAGCAGGACTTTAGCCAGATATGAACTCTCTATGAACCTGTTCCAGCATAAGTAGCCATTCTTCTATATCACTAGGCAGGTTTTGGCACTTCCATTTCAATCAGTCTTGGGCACAATTTTAATTATGAAGCCACCACCTTCCTCTTTGAAGAAGAACTATATCAATATCTGCAATGGCTGGAGTTGATGTTTCCTTTATTTTGTCATGATGGACTCTTAATACTATGTTCTCTTTTTAAAGAAAATCTAGATCTCAATCAATTGTAATCCAATGAAGAGATTATTATTATTAATTACTGTGTTTGCACAGATGCCATAGTGTCATGGGTTAGTGTTAACAGAACACACAGCACCCCGTGACATTCCTCAATAGGTATTGCATGTTGTTAGGTTAACTCACAAGTCCTGAACATTATCAGCTACATATCGCAGTTTAGGCAAAAGGCTCCCTACTGGGCTGGATTACAGCATTCTTTCCATCGGACCCCTTCCTTTCCAATGACTGCCAAACAGGTGGCAGTGGAGGTAAATTTGTAGATGTGCTGTACAACTGTGTCCTTTATAAATGCCAAAAGAGGAAATGCTACTTGAATTTCTAGTACACTATATCTCAAGAGAACCTTTGCAAATGACAGATTTCTAGAGGTAAAAAGAACCTGCAAACAAAACAGAAGTTAGTCTGACAACATTGTCTACTGTAATTCCCCCCCCCCCCCCCCAAAAAAAAGGCTGCAGGCAATAAAGACACAGCAAATGTTGTCTACTGCAACGTTTTCGATCAGACAAGTGCTAAGGGATGGGTGACTATGTTTACAAAGCCTTCCTAGTTGCCCGGAAGAGGGCACTGCTTAATCACTTGTCACCATGTTTCCTTTTGTTCCTCAAGGCCCTTTTGTAAAGGTCTCTCTCTCTCTCTCTCTCTCTCTCTCTCTCTCTCTCTCTCTCTCTCACACACACACACACACACACACACACACACACATATATATACACACACACACACAAAGAGAAAATGGGGAGGTAAAAAGGAGTGTTAAAATGGCATCCTTTTAGATACATACTTTAACCAGCATCATTTTGTGTTGTTACTGAGTGAGTGATGTTTGAGCAGAGTTTTATTGGGTAGGGTATGGAACATTAAACAATTAAGAGAGAACAAAAAGTGAAGAGAGTAAAGGTGATTAAAAATGGAAAGCTTGCATGTAAATGGATTGGCAGTAATGAAGAAATGGGATAGACTGAGGATGGTAAAGAAGTTACAGGCTCACACAAGAAGACAAAGAACAGACTGGACCTGGCCTTGGACCCAACTGGGAGGCTGTACAAGCACACTGAAGTTCTTGGATTGCACTGAAATTGGCAACAGACTGATGGCCAATGTGGTGAAAAGATTCTTTACTCCTTAGGAGTAAGCCACAGCTCCTGGGTGTAAGTGCCTGCAGTGCTTGCTAAGCAAAAAGGCTGTTCCAACTAAAGGGCTATGTGGGGGTTGGAGAAGGAGATAGCAGATACAGGAGGATAGCAAAGAGAAGTCTGCAGAGGAAGTGCCTGTTGGAATTACTCCTAATAGGTCTGTATAAACAGACTCCCATCCTTTATGCTGCCTGGTCAGGACTTGGCTCATTTTCCAGGCACAGAATAGAACTCGTTCCTCATATTGGAAGCCTTACTTAGAGGAAAGGAAGGCGTCAGAGACTTCCCAAGCAAGGAATTGCCTGCATGCCAAAACAACCAGACCCAGGAACTGTTTTTCCCTTGTGCCAGAGCTCTGCTGAACATCTAATTCTCACAGTACTGTTTTATGTCTAAGTATATTTAGACTTAGAATAACTTTATTGTCACTGAATGTTCACTAATTGGCATACATTAAAATGAAATTTCATTGCATACAGCTCTCAAGGGGTCTCCACCTCCAATAAATACCACATAAACATGACAAAATAAATAAACAAATAAAGCATATACCCAAATATATTATATGACACAGAGAAACAACACAGTCTAGCTCAGATGTATACATGTACATGGCAAGAGAAGAAATCTTGTGAGTTTACCAGACGGATGGCATAGGCCATAGGGAACATGTTTCCCTATGTCATACGGTTATAATATTATTATCCTTGCCATCTGCTTTACCACCCTTTTATTGGTATCATTATTATGATTATTATTACCACCCTGTTGCTTTGCATGTACACTGAGAACTTTTGCACTCAGTGGATGCAAGGGAGTGGAGACAAATTCCTTGTGTGTCTAATCACACTTACCAAATAAACTATTCTAAAATATGTGCACAGGTGAGGTTGGAATGTACATGGATACTGTTGGTGCAAGAGGAGGAGGAGAAGCCTCAAAATGCTGCTGCCAAACCTATTTACTTCCTGGGTTTTGATACTTTATTTTGAGAATTTAATATTGAGTTTCTGGATTGGACTACCGATGCTCCAATGAGTCTTTTTTCTCTCTCTGATAAAACCCCTCAACCTAAGTGCTTAAGAGTCTGGTTAGAAAAAACTATAGTAGGTTTTCTACATTTTTAGAGAATCCAGTCTTTGCTTTCTGTTAGTGGGCAGTTCCCCAGCTGTCTGTCTACAAGGGTCTCTGCCACAATCAGGAATGATAGATTCCCCCTGGGTTCCTTCTCTTATAGTATGCGATCAGCAAGGACTGCTCTTTTTTCTTTGGAACGGCATTATCTTCTGAAATTCATTTTGCTCCCTGTGATGTCTTGAATTTCAGCTGCTGCAATAGCCACATTGCTCAGGCCAGGGAATAAGGATGCACCTGATCTTACAAGACACCCCAGTGATGATCAAATGTCATGTTCTACAGGTCACTGGATTCAAGGGCCCCTATGCGAGCTTGGGCTGTAAAAGCAAGTGGGGTTGCTATACTGTTCATCCTGCTGCCCATTGGTGTCCCTTTCTGAACTCCTAGGTCTTATTACTTGGTTGGTGGTAGAGTATCACAGCTGTTGGTTCTGAAGGATTTCAATTGCCATGCAATGGAGTAAGGGTAATTTAAGGAGCATGCAGGAATTGATGACCCCTATGGCAACCAGATGCTTGTCTCAGGTGATTTCAAGCAATGCACACAAAATGGTCATGTTTAGATCTACGGTTTACTTTGGAACAGTTGGCATGTGATCTTAAAATGAAGGATATTGTGATTACTTGTCTATCATTGTCATAATATTTGCGAATGAGAGCGAGGCTTAGTATTACCTGTGACCTCCAGAAGGATAGGGGATTGATTAGGATAGTCCACCCCAAATGTTTAATGTATCTTATCGGTTTTAAGCAGGTTGCTTGCTGACTTCTAGACTATGGCGCTTCTGAGGGTGCTGAATGAGACTGCATCTAAGCAGACTCCATCTGTTGAATGCAAGGAGCACACTGATATATAGCAGAACTGATCGTTAATTGCCATGGCATAAATCCAAAGGTGAATAAAACTGAGCAGGCATATAACCCCAGGTTCATACCTGTGTTGTGTTGATAAAATTGAGGTGTCATTATTTCCCTACATTTATTGCACTGTTAGAATGTTGTACAGCAGCTCTGTTGGTGTCCTTTTCCCTCTAAGGGAAGGACATGGATAAAAGTTGCCTGCAGGCTGTATGACATGTCTGTATAACATTTTGCTGATTAATTTACCAAGTCTGGAGTTCAATGAGGTATCCAGAGTAGCATATTAAAGGTCATTTGGGATTCATTTGAGCTTCTGGTTTTTGACAAAAAAGAGGATAGGGCATGCAGTAATATAAGCTCAGCCTCTTGTGAATTGGATTCTTGCTCCACTTTATGCAGACAGGGTAAGAGACAGATTCATGAAGTGATGAATTATTTTGGGGGAGTGGAGATGGTATTGACTAAAAGAAGCAGGGGTGTCTCCTGGAGAAACCATCTTTCAATCTAAGTATCTCAGACCTCCTTTGCCTGATCTGCAATCTTCCCTTTTTAGGAAATGTTTTGGAGATGTTGATGTGATGCCTGTTAAAGAGGCTGCTAGATGAAGCCAATTAATCAATCTCTTCTGAACAAGATTCAGTTACGAGTATTGGATGGAAACTGCATCGATCATACCAATGCATGATATTTATCAGGACCTAAATGAGGCAAATACAGTCTTCTTGGTCTTGTTCATCCTCTCAATCATGTTAATGGTCTGTTTCTGGACAATCTGGAAGAGATGCACTGTTTTACGGTGGATCTGATCCTCCTGGGAAGTTCCAGTTGGTATCACAATGGGATGAGTGGTTGAGCACTTAACTCCTCTTCTGTGGAGTGCCACAAGGTTTAGCTGTCTCATGCATGCTTTATGACGTACACATTAAAATATTGGGAAAGATACAGAGGTGGTATTCAGCAGGTTCTGACCAGTTCTGGAAAACAGGTAGCAGAAATTTTGAGTAGTTCGGAGAACCAGCAAATACCACCTCTGACTGGAGATTTTATAGTATCCTTCCCCTGCCAAGCCCAACAAGCCACACCCACAGAACCTGTATTAAAAAAATTTGAATCCCACCACTGGGTCACAGATCATATGTTGATTTGAGCTGAAGAAGTATCAACATGTTGATGACACCCAACTATATCTACATCACAGGCTGAATTAGAAGGGCTGATGAATCTTCACCAGGGATTTAGAGACTGTAAAAGATTGCACTGGAAGAACCAAGTTTAAATATTACAAAATTGGCTGTTGAAAAAACACTGGTCTCCTTTTCTTCCCCTAATGGCTAGTGGCTTCCCTTAAAGTTCATAATCTGGATGTTTTTCTGGACTCACAATTCCTCCTTGGTCAGTGGGTGGACTGATGGTCAGGAGAAACCTAACCAAATTTGGCTGGTGTTCCAGTTGTGACCTTTCCTGGGGCAGGAGATGGTGAAGATACTCACGGGCTCATCATCCTGATGTATGATTACTGCAATATGCTTCACTTAGGTCTCTTTGCAACTACTTGTAAACTGCAGCTCGAGACGTGAGAGCTGGTCTACTATTATAATATTGATTTTGTACTTGCTGCATTGGCTGCCAAAAGATTTCAAAGAACAATAAAAAAAAACACTGGCTTTTACTTAAAAAGCTCCATGTGGCGTGTTCCCAGATACCTAGCAGATTGTTTCATTTGAATTGAATCTGCCCACTATCATTTGCTCACCAGGAAGTGACAGATGTGGGATCTCAGGATTAAGATTTTGGGGGTTTGCACTGCCCCCACATTGGATATCTTTAGAAGGACTGTTAAAACTGAACTCTTTTCCTAAGACTTCTGGGGCCCGCTTTTAACAGTTGTGGCACACTTTCTCTTTTCTTAATGTCTATGAGTTGTTGAGCTTGTTGTTAAAAATGATTATTAGAAAATCTGAAGCAAGGTAGCTTATTATTAGGTGGATAACTAAGTACATGTTTAGGAGTGTTGCAAGGGTTTATTGTTTGTCTGTTTTACTGTGAGGTACTCAGAGTCATTAGATGGGGCAATATACTCAATACTGATAATGAATTCATTTTTTTCTCACTCTAAATGCCAGGGCAATTAATGACAAATGCTAATGAATTCAGAAGAAGCTTATCTTACCTCTTCCTGGCCATCACACTCTGTATTTGTGTCATATGAATAGCAATAAAACCATCTACAGTCGGCAGGGTATTGTTGGACTTGAACCAGCAATTTACCTATCTGTATGTAGCCATCAGACGTCCTGTGGTATTTGAATGCTGTTGCTCTTCCCTCCTGCAGAGCTTCCTTATCTGACTGGAGACTCTGTTCAGGGAAACAGACAATCTTTGCAAAAAGGCAGCTATAAGGATTTAGGAAGCCTGCTGTGTATACAGTGTGAAATGCCCTGACAATAAATCACCAGGCAATACTTATGGCTTTGGAGAAAGAGAGCATTATTCTAACAGTCAGTGTCAGAAGAACCTTTTATGCCTTTCAAGGACTCATAAAAGACGACTGAAGGATACAGAATAAGGATCAGACTTGAAAACCTTTTTCTCTGTTATAGGCTATGCAATTTACGTTGAGAATAATGAAGGAGACTTGCTTTGAGGTTTGCAATGTAGTCTCGGGACATTAGAATTTAGATTCTGATTATACTTTGCAACCCCAGATAGATAACTGGCTACAAAATAATAATCTGCCTTATACTTATAACAATCTATGATGCCTTCAACTTTCTAATCAGATAACCTATAGTCTTTGACTTAATGATCCCTTATTGACCATTTGAAGTCATGAGGAAACCCCCCCCTCACCTGAAGTAGTTATGACCCAATTCTGAAGTTCCAATGGCTGGGCCCTCCCTACCGTCATGTGATTGAATTTTGGGTGTATGCAAACAGTCTGCATTTATGCCCATTTGCAACATTCTCCAGTCACGTAAATACAATGGCACTTATTTCCAGTTTTTGGCAAAAATACCCCATAGCAAACAACATGTTAATTTAACAATCTTGGATCTGCTTGATGCCCAAGGCGATTCAGAAATTTTTGAAGGAGAATAGTTTCAGAGTTCCATCGTGGAGCTATTTTGGTGTAAGTGCTGGCCTAGAAACAAGAAGATCTGAATTCCAGGCCTCCCTCAGGCCTAAAAGCCATCGTTGGCTCGATCTCTCAGCCCAACCTACATTGCAGGATTGTAAATGTTGTGAGGAAAAAAGGAGGAGAAAGGAACATTGGGAATGTTTGCTGACTTGCGTTGATCAAAATATATAAAAAGGCAAGATAAAAATCTAATAATAATAATTAACAACAGTATACTCAGCAAACTTACATCAAAGGGCA